TCAGAATCCTGGTCAGTTTTATCACAGTTAGGGGTCTTCTGTACTACTATCATCGCTAAATAATGGCAGTATCATATATATTATGGCATTTGTAAGCGATGCTGTGGTCACAAGCTGAACAGCGGTGCTGTGAGTTCGTGCTGCGTGCGCCAGCCTTGGTGGCTTGCTCACAACTGAAGTTCTTACACCCAAGAATGTTGGCCTGGATTTTTTTTTCTAGGTGGCATCTGGCAACTATCGGTCGTGGCTGCACTATAGCTGCCCCTATCCCAGGTGGGGTGTTTAAATTATAGCGCTAGACACAGAAGCTGTGGCACGCAAGTAACGGCTAAGGATTGCAACCGGACACAAAACATGATGCACTCCGGCCTAACCAACCAAGCATCAACAACCCAGGGACCCCTCCGGAAAGCAGCAGTCTCGTTCTTCGCCAGGAAAGAAGAAGACAGCTGCAGATGGACAAAACCATCACGAAGACCGAAAGAGTAGAAACCCTTGCGCCGGAGGAGAGCACAAAGCTCCCCAACCCGACTCCCCAGAGGCCAATGCCAACAGAAAAAGAGCCTTGGAGAATCAAAAAGAAACAATCCTGAAGTCGAAGGGGCCACGGGAAAACCTCCGGGTTTAAAAACTGGGCGAGGAGAAGAAAGAAAAGAGAGCATTCTGTCCAAAGACCAGGACGGCTCAAGCGAGGCATGAGCAGGCCAGAGGTGAAAAAACGCACGAGACAGCTTGCAAAATGGCACAGAAGTAACATCAATACCGAAAGCAAGCTGAAGCGGCTCCGCCAGCGCTGTACGATACAAGACAGGCGCCAAAAAGTGTTAGGCATAAGGTGACAATCCTGGAACAACCAAGTGAGAAAGGACACTACCTTTGCTTTCTTGGTGAACTGGAGGAAGTCCCATCTGGTCCCCTCTTAGGTTCGGACTTGGCTGGGTCTCATTTGGGAATCTCGGACCGCTTCCTTGTCTCTTCCCCCCAGTCTTTCTCCTGCGGCTGCGGTCCCACCTTCGTCTGTTTCTGGTGGGCCCTCGGGTCACCTGTCGGTTGCTCGAGGGGCTGTGCGAGAGCCTGAACTTCACGATAATAGTCTATCCTCCGAGTCGGGTGTGGCTTCGTCGGCTTCTGGTTCCTACGGGGTCGCCCCTTTCGCTTCTCTTGCGAGCGCTGGGTTCGACCCCCCGTGGGCCTTGCATCGGCTGCTGTGTCGCCGGCTTCCTCTTTGGGTTTTTCGGGGTTCAGTTCCTTGGCGCCTACCCGAGCCCTCGCTCAATGTGTAGTCTCTCGGCTGGGGCTTTGTGACCAGTGCTCACCATGCCGGCCAGGGGCGTTGGGGTCCATCCTTCCGTCGAGCTCACAGCATGGTGCGGGAGTTCGCGGCGGTGTGGTTTGCTCTTCGGAGGATTCGGGTCGCCCGCGGATCGACGATTCGGCTCCATTCAGACTGCTCTCCGGTGGTTCATTTCCTGAACCACAGAGGTTCGATGTGGTCCTTGCCTCTTTTGGGTTCGTCTCTTTGGGTGACTCGTCTGCTGAGTTCTCAGGGTTTGGCTCTCCTGGCGGTTCACGTGTGGGGAGTGTCTAACATCTTGGCCAACGGCCTGTCTCACTTCGTTCCTATCTCCACGGAGTGGTCAGTCGACGACGCTTCCTTCCGTTGGCTTTGCCAGACGTTCGGGCGCCCGAGGTGGATCTCTTCACGTTGGTGTGGTCAAGGCGCCTTCCCGTGCATGCGGCGCCCTTCCCTGATTGCGAGGCCATCGGGGTCGATGCCTTTCGGCTGGACTGGTCGAGATGGGGGTTCCTGTACCTCTTTCTCCCGGTTCGGCTGTTGCTCCAGGTCTTGATTCACTTGGAGACTTACCAGGGGAGAGTTGTCCTTCTGGCCCCTTGGTGGCCAGCCCAGCCTTGGTTTCAGGTGCTGTTTGCTCGGTGTCCGAATCTGAGGGTTTTCTTGCGGCTTCGCCTCTTTCAGCAGATCGGGCCAGTACGTCACATGGCTGGTTCGATCTTCTCCTCGAGTCTTCTCCTTGAGTCTATCATCATCTCTATGGTGATCAGGTTACCTCCTTGTTGGTGTCCCACCTGAGGGCTTCTTCTCGGCGACAGTATGAAGTTTCCTGGCAGTCATTCTGTTTCTTTTTGCGTCTTGGTTGTTTTAGTTCGCTGTCTGTTAGGGTGGTCTTGCCCTTTCTCTCTTGGTTGTTTCAGGACCATCATCTTATGTCTAACACTGTTGCCTCGTATCGTGCAGCGCTGGCAGAGCCGCTTCAGCTTGCCTTCGGTATCGATGTTACGTCTGCGCCATTTTGCAAGTTGTCTCGTGCTTTGTTTCACCTCCGGCCTGCTCATGCGCCGCCTGAGCCGTCCTGGTCTTTGGACAGAGTGCTCGCTTACCTTTTGTCGCCTCGTTTCGTCATGGCCCCTTCGATCTGGGATTGTTTCTCCAAGGATCTTTTCTTGTTGGCATTAGCCTCTGGGGGTCGGGTCGGGGAGCTTCATGCTCTCCTCCGGCGCAGGGGTTTCTGCTCTTTCGGTCGTGGCGATTGTTTTGATCGCTTGCAGCCGTCTCCTCCTTTTCTGGCGAAGAATGAAACTGCTGCATCCCGGAGGGGTCTGTGGGTGGTTGATGCTTGGTTGGTACGGCCGGGGGTGCATCATGCTTTGTGTCTGGTTGCAGCGCTTCGCCGTTAATTGTGTGCCACGGCTTCTGTGTCCGGGGACACGCTTTGGGTTGATCTGGTTTCCCTTCTTCCCTGTTCGTGGGTTCGGGTCTCCCAGGTCGAAAGGTCAAGGTCATCAAATCCAGCCAGCCTGCGGTCTATCCCTGTGCCCATGACGTCCGTAAGTTCGCGGCTCTTACTTCCGTCTTAGGGAATATGTCTTGGTCTGCTTTTCGAGCGTGGGGTTTTTGGCAGTCGAACAGGGTCCTGGCTGCTCGTTACCTCGTAAAGGTCCCTGGGGCCCCGTCAGGCCTGTGTTGCTTTGGGTCGGCCGTTGTAGCCAGTTGTCTCAATTTCGAGTTGAGGAGTGAGCGACGACCGCCTCCTCAGTAAGTCCCTCTTTTTCTGTCTGTGGGTAGTTAGCTCTGGGAAGCCGATGGGGCTCCTCCAGAAAACCAGCGTTGAATGTAACGAAATGCCCTTTTCTGGGCGAGTCCCGGAGGCTCCCCAGCATCCCTCCCTCCCTCCCTCCGGTTGGCAGTTTTTCGTGTTTTTGACATGCAGCCTCAGAACTGAGGTGTGGGTAGCTGGCGTGAAGGGTCTGGGGCTCCCCCTTCCCCCTCCCGGGGAATGGGGAGCTGCGCAGACAGTGGCGTGGTGACGTGTGACATCATACTAGTTTGCTCGTTTTCTGTTGGGGAGTTCTATCCACTAGTTCAGCTTTTGGTAGCAATTTTAACCAGAATAGGGGTTTGTTTTGGGGCGCTTACCTTTCTGGGTGCCTGATCCGGTCGATGGCAGACATAGAATGCTTCCAACCACACAGGAGTTTCTATAGGCCATTGCTTCCCTTGCCTCTTTGAGAGGGCCCGATTCTGGCCGTGGTCCCCGGTAGGCCCTAGAACTCCATACACATGACTGATGCCAAAGTCTGACATTAGCATATCAGCCTGGGATAGCTCCGGGACTCACCCAGAAAATGGCGTTTCATTACATTCAACACTGGTTTTTTCACATATTTCAAACTCTATTTTCCTTGTTTCTTTAGGTTGTTTTGATGATTAGGGACCAGATTAGGGGTTTTTTACTTATATAAAGTATACCCTAAATATATTCCCTAAATCATTATATTTATTATAATTATCCTTATATTTTTTTTTTGGGGGGGGGATGGGAAGAATTTTTTCTTGACTTCATTTCTACACACATTGACCTACAACTTTCACATACTTCAGTACGAATGCCGAACAATGTTTATTATAACATACAAGTAAATTCATGAATTAGAACTGCCTTATTCACTGTCGATAACTTCAACTTCAATTATATCTATAACTAGAATTTCAACTTACTTTAGTATCCAAATATCTAGTTTCCGACCAATTCTCAACATTTTTACATATAATGTGCACAGCTGTCTGTTCTACAATCCTTGTAGAATTGATTTTTAATAAACTATAAACGTTTGGATATATAAATTTTTGTTGTCTAAATTTGCGCATATTTCAAATGCCATATTGACAATTTTTTTTTTTTAACAGTAAACTATACTGAAAACCTATAGTCTAAATACATGAAAATGAAGATCATATGCTATTCTGAGAGCATAACACCAAATGAACAGTTGGTGATATTTTTATATTTTTGGAGCTGAATTCAAAATCTGAAGTTTTCGATATCCAATTTTATAATTATTTTTTATTTACTTGTTCTTCAAGTTACACTGGTATCTTTAGACAAAGTTGGAGCATTTGCCTAGTAGATTATTCACAAAACATTTGAAAGAGTTTCAGAAAATTTAAAAAACCGAGTTCAATGTCACACATCATATGAGGTTTTGCGCAGTTTAAGGGTTAACCATGTTTCCAAGCCACGAAAAATTGACAGTTTAACTGGCCGATTATATGACGTGAATCAGCGGTAAACTAGTTTTTATCAGCGGTAAACTAGTTTTTATCAGCGGTAAACTAGTTTTTATTTACAAGATTGCCTAGTAGTTCAGCGATGCACAGTAAACTGCGCAAATTCCTGCTTGAGAATGCCCATCCATAGCTCACAACTAGGATGTGTGAACATGTAGTTGAGAAAAATAAAGCTCAACAATGACTCTTTTTCTGAAGTCAGTTTGTTGATTAATACATACCTTATCAAGTCTAGCATCTTTCTCTTGCATCTTTCATCACACAACTGCCATTATGTTTGACTAAATCTCATCATATTAGTAAAAGATGGCGATAATTTATAACGATCTAACTACACTAATACACAGAGATGAAGTTTCTTCTACGCAAAATCAAATTCATTCTTCAAATCACACCAAAGTGCATTACTTACTCTCTAGCTTCCTCTCTCTGTTTGCGTCCTTCCACGACTCGTACTGGTAAGGGATGAGAGCCCCGTTGCAGTCCAAGAAAGACATGGCAAGCACAGACCCCTTCAACCGAAAGATGGTTCCTGCAACATCATATAATGGTGAGTGACAGATGGTTCCTGAAACATCATACAATGGTGACAGATGGTTCATGCAACATCATATAATGGTGAGTGACAGATGGTTCCTGCAACATCATATAATGGTGAGTGACAGATGGTTCCTGCAATATCATATAATGGTGAGTGACAGATGGTTCCTGCAACATCATATAATGGTGACAGGTGGTTCATGCAACATCATATAATGGTGAGTGACAGATGGTTCCTGGCACATCCAAACTACAAGAATATCACAGGAAACAGAACCAGGGGACAACAGACAGCATCACAACAAGGAAACAGAACCATGGTAAGTCAAGGTGGCAAAAAGTGAGGGGAAGTCACAAAAGTGACTTCCCCTCACTCCCCATGTGGCAATACACACAGAAAAGCTTTTGGGAAAATGTATTGAGAGAAATGTATTTAAGACTGCATTGGCATTAACATCATATATTGTAAAGATCTTTGAGAGTAGTAAGCAAGCAAGATCACCAAACACATTGAATTATAATGTCTTCGTGACCCTGGACAACAGGGTCATGGGCCCAAGTGTAGTTACAGGATGAGAGCTGCGCTCGTCTTCCGTCTTCCCAGTACTCTGAGAAGACGTATAATGCCTTGAAACTACTGATGCTTTTGGCCTCCATCACCTTCTAACTTAGCTTGTTCCAACCGTTTACAACTCTGTTATCCTGTGCACCCTGATGTAGCACTCTTAAAGAGCTGAGCAGTGTAAGTGTTAATAAATTTAATGAATACTGCAGTTCAAATGGGTCCACGTTAAAGGCCGAAGGGGTTTCCAGGCTTGTGGGTCTTGACATTTGGGTATGCCTATGCAAATGTGCCTCAATGCCATGCTCTCAGCCACAGCTCAGATTGGAAGCAAGTCGATGAAGAACTCTGTAGGGTAAGGCAGGTCCTAGTCAACAACGGCTTCTCTAACGGTTTCGTTGAAGAGAGCATAAATAGAAAGGTGAAATGCCATGCAATCTCTGAAGAGTCAACCAACACAACACTTGTACCCCCTATTAGACTATTTTACAGGAACTTCTTTTTGACGGCTCATAAAACAGAGGAAAGGGTCCTGAAAGATATTGTTAATAGAAACGTTATCCCTACAGACAAAAATCAGAAGATACAATTGACGATTTACTATAAAACAAAACAAAAACGGCCAACCTACTCATGGAAAAACTCTCCAGACACAAAGCAGAACGCCTTAAAGGAGACCAACATCGTCTATGCCTTCAAATGCCCACTTGGGGACTGTAAGCCCCAAGAACTCAATATATAGGCAAGACAACAACAACTCTTTCCAGGCGATTAACGATGCATAAGCAACAGGGCTCCATCAAGGAACATATAATCTCTTCCCACAACCAGACCATCACCAGAGAAGTCTTAACAAACAAGACAGAAATCATCGATAGATACAGCAATAGCAGGCGGCTTGACATCTGCTAGGCACTACACATCAAAAAGTCAACACCAGCAATCAACAGCCAATTAATGCACAACTATATTCTACCCACTACAAGACTCCGTACTAATACAGAAGCATCAAGAGGAAGTATGGGCCAATAGGCCCTTTGCAGTTACTTCCATTCTTCCCTTTCATTTCTCCAATAATTACCCAATGTTCTGTGTTCTGTCTTGTGTTGGTCAAAAGTTTGTTCACCTCGTCCAAAACTGTTGCAACATATCACCTCACCCAAATGCGAGTATATAAGACAAGCTGTTTAAGTGTTTAGCATAAGTAAAACTCTGTTTAGTGTTTTCAGGTTACAGTTGTGTGTGTGTAAACTAAAGTCTTTGAAAATGTAATAAGTTATTACAAAACGCGTTCAAGCGTCGCATCAGACTAGAAATAAAAATGAATTTTGGAGAACTGATTTTTCAATTACCATCGACAGTAAAAAGAAACATAAGAAATAGAGAAAATTTGTGTTAGAATTATTAATCTGACCTTTTCGGTCATATTTAACAATATATATATATATATATATTGTAATAATTTTTATTTAAGTAAGGTACATATAAAGAGATTTTACAAAGGCTTTATAGATAGCTATACATATAATAAAGCCACTAACGCAAATCGGGCAGATATAATATATAACAATAATATTTAACAATATAATAATAATAATAATAATATATATATATATATATATATATATATATATATATATATATATATATATATATATATATATATATATATATATATATATATATATATATTATATATATATATACACACACAAGGTGGTGGAGGCCAAGACCGTCAATAGTTTCAAAGCATTATATGACAGAGTGCTGGGAAGACGGGACACCACGAGCGTAGCTCTCATCCTGTAACTACACTTAGGTAATTACACAAGAGTTGTTATATTCTTGTACAGCCACTAGTACGCGTAGCATTTCGGGCAAGTCCTTAATTCCCTGGAATACGACCCCCACGAAGAATCGTTTAACAACTAGGTACCCATTTTATTGTTGAATAAAACAGAGGCTACAGTTAAGGATTGACACCCAGTAAACCCTCCCTGGCCAGGATACGAACCCAGGACAAAGCGCTCGCAGAACGCCAGGCGAGCGTCTACCACTACACCACGAAGACTGACCTCAATTATTAAAACGGCATGAATAAGGACTTTTCCTCCAAAGTCTACAAGGATACATTTCTGCAGTTTCAATTATATATTATTACCTGTAAATAATAATTTGTTATCTCTAGTTAAAAAGCACTTTCAGGCTGCAGATGAGTTTATGCTAAAACGTAATGCCTGTTGACCACCAACTAATACACAAGCTATGTAAGTGATGCATAACTTTTCAAACTCTCAAAATGTAGAACTTTCAAAACATTTTAATTATTTTTGAACACCTCCAATTGCTATCTGCAATTAGCTCCAGTACTTGAATTGTCACATGTGATTATATTTACATTAGTTCTGTTAACTAGTTTATGACATGTACACCACAATGTACAACTTTTAATTATCTGAGCAATTTAAACAGCTTAAGCAATTTAAGCAGCTTAAGTCCAAAGCAGCTTACCGCTTGGCGACACCGTTGCGGGAGTCGTCGCTCTCGTCTCTGGTGGTGGTATGGATACCATCACCTGTATGACAGAGCCTAGACTCGTACCCACCCACAGCGTTGGGGCCATTTGTGTATCTGCAAACAATTTTGAAGGGATTAATTATCTGTGGTGAACATAAATGGATTAATTGACTTGTGATGGACATAATTTGATTTTCTTGTAAAGAACATAAATTGTCTTGTGATGAACACAAACCCACAATAACATTTCATAACCACTCAGTAATTTGTAATCCGGTAACCCAAATCTGTGTGTCATCTGAATTATCTCCATGGCTACTGGGAGTCACCTCCCTGACTCCCAGTAGTCAGGGGGGTGAGGGTGGGGGGTGTAGTCAGGAAGGTGAGGGTGGGGGGTGTAGTGAGGGTGGGGGGTGTAGTCAGGGAGGCGAGGGTGGGGGTGTAGTCAGGGTGGGGGGTGGGGGTGAGGGTGGGGGGTGTAGTCAGGGAGGCGAGGGTGGGGGGTGTAGTCAGGGAGGTGAGGGTGGGGGGTGTAGTCAGGGAGGTGAGGGTGGGGGGTGTAGTCAGGGAGGTGAGGGTGGGGGGTGTAGTCAGGGAGGTGAGGGTGGGGGGTGTAGTCAGGGAGGCGAGGGTGGGGGGTGTAGTCAGGGAGGTGAGGGTGGGGGGTGTAGTCAGGGAGGTGAATGTAGGGGAGGGGGTGAGTGACATCAAGTAGATGAAGAAAACTACATGGTATATTGAACTACTGTATGTGTGTGTACTAACCATTGCATCACCAAACATTCACTCAATGCAGACAGTAAGTTAATATCGTGACTGAAAATTATACACCTGTATTGTCCCAATAATATACTCGCTCCAAACTCATTAGCTTAATGAGAGAAGCAAAGCTCTCATTAGCACTAATGATGGAATTCAAACCTTTTCCCCTACTTACAGTTAACATTCCTTCCAACCTTTGGAAAACGGTGAGGTGTTGTCCGATCATATAAGCAATCAAGAAACGAGTAATTATCAGTCTACTTTCAAGTGTGGTTTAGAACACACACTTGAGAAATACTGTACTGACTCTCAGTGCACTCAACTCACTATCACACCATTACTCCACAAGTGTCACCTCCAAACTTCTGTGTACTACAGTTGTTCAAATATATAAATAAATAAATAAATTATATATATATATATATATATATATATATATATATATATATATATATATATATATATATATATATATATATATATATATATATATATATCTATATGCGAACAAGCCTGAATGGTCCCCAGGACTATATACAACTGAAAAGTTTGCATTTGTGTTCCTCACGTGTGCCCCAAAGAATGAGGTGATTTGATAAAATGCTATGCCCAAGATTACCATCCGAGTGCCGGCGGGGAAGTGGTTCAAATAGCCTCGGCTATCACTTCCTTATGTCCGGTCGTGATGGTCAAGCGGATTAAGGCGTCCCTGTACATACCAGTTGCGTTGTTCCTGGGAGTATGGGTTCGAGTCACTTCTGGGGTGTGAGTTTTCAGTTATATATCTATATATATCTATATCTATATATATCTATATATATATATATATGTCGTACCTAGTAGCCAGAACGCACTTGTCAGCCTACTATGCAAGGCCCGATTTGCCTAATAAGCCAAGTTTTCCTGAATTAATATATTTTCTCAAATTTTTTTCTTATGAAATGATAAAGCTTCCTATTTCATTATGTATGAGGTCAATTTTTTTTTATTGGAGTTAAAATTAACGTAGATATTTGACCGAACCTAACCAACCCTACCTAACCTAACCTAACAAACCTACTAGGTATTCTTTATGCTCAATTAGTATTAAGTTCTAGATATTAATGTTTTTCTTGCCCGAAACGCATTGCGTAATAGTGGCTTTAGGCATTGTATGTACTAGCTCTATCTTTATATCAATCCATTAATGTAACATCACTTGTATGTATGTACCTTACCTGAATAAACATATTTATTTATTTATTTATTTATTAACCTATCTTTATATGTTAGGTTAGGTTAGGTAGCCGAAAAAGTTAGGTTAGGTTTGGTTAGGTACGTTAGGTAGTCGAAAAAACATTAATTCATGAAAACTTGGCTTATTAGGCAAACCGGGCCATGCATAGTAGGCTGAGAAGTGCGTTCTGGCTACTAGGTATGACATATATATATATATATATATATATATATATATATATATATATATATATATATATATATATATATATATATATATATATATATATATATATATATATATATATATATATATATATATATATATATATATATATATATATATATATATATATATATATATATATATATATATATATATATATATATATATATATATATATATATATATATATATATATATATATATATATATATATATATATATATATATATATATATATATATATATATATATATATATATATATATATATATATATATATATATATATATATATATATATATATATATATATGTCGTACCTAGTAGCCAGAACTCACTTCTCAGCCTACTATTCAAGGCCCGATTTGCCTAATAAGCCAAGTTTTCCAGAATTAATATATTTACTATAATTTTTTCTTATGAAATGATAAAGCAAACCCTTTCTCTATGTATGAGGTCAATTTTTTTTTATTGGAGTTAAAATTAACGTAGATATATGACCGAACCTAACCAACCCTACCAAACCTAACCTAACCTATATATATAGGTAAGGTTAGGTTAGGTAGCCAAAAAAGCTAGGTTAGGTTAGGTTAGGTAGGTTAGGTAGACGAAAAAACATTAATTCATGAAAACTTGGCTTATTAGGCAAATCGAGCCTTGAATAGTAGGCTGAGAAGTGCGTTCTGGCTATTAGGTACGACATATATATATATATATATATATATATATATATATATATATATATATATATATATATATATATATATATATATATATATATATATATATATATATATATATATATATATATATATATATATATATATATATATATATATATATATATATATATATATATATATATATATATATATATATATATATATATATATATATATGTCGTACCTAATAGCCAGAATGCACTTTTCGGCCTACTATGCAAGGCCCGATTTGCCTAATAAGCCAAGTTTTCCTGAATTAATATATTTTCTCTATTTTTTTCTTATGAAATGATAAAGCTACCCATTTCATTATGTATGAGGTCAATTTTTTTTTATTGGAGTTAAAATTAACGTAGATATATGACCGAACCTAACCAACCCTACCTAACCTAACCTAACCTATCTTTATAGGTTAGGTTAGGTTAGGTAGCGGAAAAAGTTAGGTTAGGTTAGGTTAGGTAGGTTAGTTGGTCGAAAAACAATTAGTTCATGAAAACTTGACTTATTAGGCAAATCGGGCCTTGCATAGTAGGCTGAGAAGTGCGTTCTGGCTACTAGGTACGACATATATATATATATATATATATATATATATATATATATATATATATATATATATATATATATATATATATATATATATATATATATATATATATATATATATATATATATATATATATATATATATATATATATATATATATATATATATATATATATATATATATATATATATATATATATATATCTATATATATATATATATATATATATATATATATATATATATATATATATATATATATATATATATATATATATATATATATATATATATCTAACACTAGAAACATTACACGCCTAACCCCCCCACACACACACACACACACACACCTGAAAATAAAGGAAGTGACAACCATACATAAACATCCCAATGGATGTTTCAGCATGGCAACTTACCATTTTTTCTGGTATAGGAATCCACAAAGGACAAACACTGTATCGCTTCACTGCTAATATTCTCCAGACTGCTGATACTCGACGAACGAGAGCGGCTAAATGAACCGTCTAACTTGTCTGGTGTTCCAAGGGTAGGTGGGAAGGGATAGATAGAGAGACATATTAGAACCGATACACAAGCAAGTGTACTTAGTATTATGAAGCTAACGTGACGTGAATATGAAAATGCTAAATTACATTTCACACGTTTTATATCACTAAAATACTATATCAAGGAGCAAAAATTAGATATGCATGATAAAAGACTTGACTTATATATGAAACTATGATCAATGGAGGCAATTCTTAGCAAAGCAATTATTGGTGTAAGCTGTAAATATTAGAAGCTGTTCTCACTACTACATATTAATAAAAGTAGCCATAGACACACTACCACAGCAACATCTAGCCATACCTTTCAGATATCAAGACATACCACATATCTACGGCCATGTCAATAACAGCCAAAACACAGCCCTTATAGCCATGACATCTACATAGGCCAAGCCACAACACAGACGACACCATGGCGCATGCGTGTTCAACATCTCTCATACCATAGATGACAGCCAAGTAACTCGCCACTTGTATTAAAGCACGTCCGCCACACAGGGAACCCATGCTGCTAACGGGGATTTACACATCGATTGATTTACACACCAATTGATTTACACACCAATTGATTTACATACAATATGATTTACACATCGAATGCATTAGAGCAGTCTCGGCTCTTTTTCTTTTAACATCGACATTTATGACAGGATTTTTTTCTTTAGGATATACACAATTAAAAGACCATTTACATTGTGAATTGAGGTGAAAACTAACATTATCTCAAAATGAAGTCATATACCCTTATTACCTAAGTAAGTTGGCACAAAGGATTTTTAAAACACTTTCCAATTTGATACAGAAATGCTCCACAACCAATTTTTTTTTTTGTTTTTTTATGAAATGCATTTGTGAAAAGCATTGCAAGAATACATTTACATTAAATGTTAATTTTGCAAGTGACATTTCCTCAATGGTTTGTAGACAAATACACTTTACCATCAAAGAAATACTGTGTATGGTTTGCCACAAATTTGGAACCATCTCACAAAGTAGATTTTCCCAACATGCTGGCAGCCATAGTTTCTCATGAGCGCTCAATTTATATAGAAATCTAACAGTGCCACAAAGATACTTCGTTTAGTTATCTGGCATTTCCTTTCCTTTGTGAGTTTCCTTTGTGAATCGGGTCGTATAAACAACCAATTTGTTCTTCCCATGTATGGTATTGTATTACAGGATTTGATGGGCGTATTAAAACATTAAAAACAAGTACATAGAAAATGACTAAAATGCCTAGGGCTAAACTAGCCTAATATTAAAACATAACACACATCCCGATCAAACACTTAAAACAACACCCAATGACATTACAAAAATGCTTATCTAGCAAGAGGGATAACAAATTATATTTAAGAAGATAACCAAAATTCAAAAGCAAGAGTTTAGGAATATACAGTAGTTTACTTGTAAAATGCAAAAGTGTTAATTCAAGCAGCTTCTGCATTCAGTAGTCAGTGGCATGCACAGAATATTACCAAGGGGGCTGAATTAACAAGATTTTGCAACCCTCCATATCATCAAAACTACCACCAATAATTACATAAAAGTGTGCAGATAAAAAGCAAAAAAAAAAAAAAAAAAATCGATTGTAAGGCTTGCGTTTGCTTGCCGTTGATGTGATCAACATGAAAAATATAACTAACTTAAGAAACCTTGACAGCTAATTGCGGACGCAACTTATTCACAACCTTCCGGTGGAAAGTGGGGGAGAGGGAGGGTGGGGGGAGGAAAGTGTCAATTCTTTCACCCCTTGGCACACTAGTGCACATGACTGGCCACTTGAGGCAAGAACACACCCAAGTTACATTTACATTCTTCAATATTCAATCCAAAGTGCAGGGTGCAATAAAACTACCAGTGGAAGCCATAAATTGAAGCATCAGACTATCTCCATGTTTATAATTACTAAATAAACATTTATTTTTTGTTTTCCCTCTCTCGCTTTCCTGGGAGGAACCTTTCAATGGCTGTCCGAGCTTAATTCTAGTTCTACTAATCCCTCTCCAAATGCTCCAAGCCATTTCCATCTTTAACTTTAAGGCCAGGTTCGAAAAAGAATTTGGACTACAGGACAAATAAACTATAATGCAGGCTAGTAGTAGGTAGGCCACATAGAGCTAGAAATCATTGTCTCTTGAAACTCGAGAAAACTCACCAGAAAACATAGGAGCAACAACAAAACTAGTGACTGCTTCACCCCCGGGTAAACGAGGAAAATAATCATTGCCATGCGGGTAAATGGCCGGAATATGAAGCACACGTTTGCCAAGTGAATTCAGTAGTCACACTATGTTTTTTTGATCTGATTCTGTATACATGACATTGTGTTTGCAGTTTCACAGGACATGCTTCATTGTTCTCAGCATTGAGAGGGCCGCTCCTGTTGCTTCTGATGGCCGCTCCTGCTGCCCCCAATGGCCATTCCTGCTGCCTCTGATGGCCTTTCCTGTTGCCTTCATCATATGGCCTACTCGGTCCAGGAATCCTTTTTCCCTGTAGGTTTATTACATTAGTCTGTACTGCACAGCTTTTCTCGTCGGGTTGACTTTTCAAGGGACTGCCTCTCAGGCTATGGCTGCATTGTAGCCTGGATTTTATGATGCAGACATTTACAGCTTCCATCTACAGTGCATGGTGTAGAAGCCAATTCCCCCCCCCCCCCCTTTTTCCTCTGGAGGAGTTTAGGAGTGCATGAACTCAATACTGGCTGATCATCTCTGCCATTTCTGCTTCGGCCTGTGAATGCCTGGCTCAGGCAGCTTCGGTTTGCTTTTACATTTTTCTAGTTGCTCATTTATTCGTTGTTTTTGCATGGAGACCATAATCTAAGCAATTTAAAATAGTTTGTGTTGATAGCATGTTTCTTTCACTCCTTTGCTCATGCAGCAGCAGCACATTTTTTTTTTTTTGGGGGGGGGGGGCACTCATTGTAGTCTGGTAGTCCCACCAACCCTTTTATGGCCCTCTCGATGGTGTTGCCGTCATGAGGTACTACGCATTATGTTCCCTGCTTGCCCACAGTGGCAAGCAGGGAAGGAGGGGAAGGCAGGATAGCAGAGAGACTGCTGTATGGTGCTAGTCAGGTTATTTACATCCATTTACATCAATGATCATTTGTATCGTGTCCCCAGGAGGTGCCTAATTTCCTTCCAGTAGTCTTGTTGCACCAATTCTTTCTGGCGAGTTTCCCCTCAGTTTTGTGGTTACTCTCCAATTCCCAGGCTTCCCCAACACTTTTTGAGAGCACCACATTCTGCTCCTGACTCCCTCGTAGGTGACAGATGGGCTAAGTCTTGGTACTGCCCATTGTCTTACCATTTCACCAGTCGATGGTAGGGTGGTATTAGTACTGTGTACGCCAGTAGGGTGAGCCCTCCTAACACAAGTTCGAATCCTGGTTGGCTCAGTTTTTAGCGCACGTATATCAGAGTAAGTAGGCACTCTATGTGCCAACTTACAGGCACATATATGTATGTGTGTGTGTGTGTATATATCAATAAGTTGGCACAAAATTATACACAACACCTCAAGCTGGATCATCGTTGTACATAATTCCTCAATTAATCTTCACTTTAATCTCAACAGCTTAAAGCAACATTTGACATCTCATGCTGTATTCAGACACACGAGCCTGATGCTTCCACTTAAGTCTTCCATGTCGTGCTCAGTGATGATAAAATGTTTTATTTGTCCCTTATAGTTGACAGGTAAGTGAATATTGATCTTGCATTTATATATTACACACAAGCAGCTATTTGGAGGAATGGGAAGTGAATATTGATCTTGCATTTATATATTACACAGTAGCGCTATTTTGGGAGAACAAGTTCCGTGAGTGGCACGTTGGTGATGTAATTTATTGAACTGTCGTACCGGTATAATGTAGTTTTACCATGTTGCAGTCTGAAAGCAGACTATTGTGCTTTACATATCAAGTCCGTAATCACGTACCAATACCAGATGCCTACATATGTGACATAATGTAGATCATGCATACAAAATAAATCAGATTTTCCAAGACCATATTATGAACTCATATATTCACTCACGCTCCAGATTTCAGTCTGCAATGTTTACTTTATTTTATTTGCAAGGTTTAATCAGGAGGAATGAGGGTGCAGCCATCAATAAACGACTAACCAACGTGCCAGTGTCGGAAGCTCCAGGGTACAGAAGCTGGAAGGGGGGAATGGGGTGGTGTTTGGTTGTTAATGTTGTTGATTCACAATGGAAGAATAATGTATGGAAACTGACTTGAAATAAAGAGATAAAAGGCCAAAAAACTATGAAATACTGTGGAAATTTGTTAATGCTTGAAAGTATTTTAAAAGGTGCCTTCCCAGTAGACAAAATATGCTCAAGTAACATTAAATCAATGTAGGATTAATGTTGATTCAATGTCACATCAATGTTGTTTGTCTAAGTTTCATTTAAAACAAAAAACAGAAAACAAAATTAAAACAAATACGCCTACAAGATCAATACATTTACCCATAACTATAAACTTGCAATCAAACAATAAACAATAAAAGTAACTATACAAACTGCCATGGAAACGTTACAATCTTTATTTCATGGTTCATCCAATTATGTTTATGATAATTGGTAATTGGTAATTTATGTTGATGAAGATATACTGGAGCCAAAGAGATGAAAGGCAGAAGAGAGAGAGAAACACAGAGAGATCGGGAGAGCGCAAGACAGCCAGGTATCCACCGAAGAATCACCGGTCATGACCCGGGGGGGGGGGGAGATGGGAAAGGGCAAGAAAAATAAAAGAAAGAAAGAAACACATGCAAACAGTCACGGTAAATGAAACCAAGTATATAGAGATTCCAGATAAAACATGTATAACTGTCCTGGGCGTCTACATTTCCTGGCACGCTGCAATTTCTCTTTGCACCACTTTGGCAAAATGCAACAATTTAACACACAGGGATCTCTCTGTAAGCCACCACATT